CTTCCTCTGCCGGAAACTTAGTTGGATTTGAAGTTAGGAAGGCCTTAAGTCCAGCGTCAAAATGGTACGTTTTCTCCCTGGACGTTGGAAGTACGTATTGACGCTGGACGCTGACTAAAAAGGAATGGGCTGCCCGAAATCGAAAAAAACAAAGGGTAAAAATTCCACGAGAAGAGCGATAGAGGGGAAGAGTAGGGGAAGGACAGGGGGTGCAGAATTAGGGGAGAGAGGAGGGGCATGGGGGAGAGAGAGAAGAGGCGTAAGAGAGATGAAAGAGAAGGGGGAAGTTGTGAAGAGTGAGAAGGGAGATGAGCCAGTGGGAAGAAGGAGAGGGGAAAAAGGGGAGAGGGGGAAGGAGGAGGAGGAACATGTTACAGTTGAGGCTGGAAAGAGCAGGGCAGCGCCTCCCTTACCCCCCCTCCCCCCTCCTCCCATCTCCCCGTAAAGAAAAGCAAGCTTGTCAATTCAAGCGAGATTCTTACAGTCTCATAAGAGAAGTGAGCGAGGAGATGCTATCAGGAATAGACCCTCCAAGAGTTGTGGGCTCCACATATCCCGAATTTGGGTCGGATGGGTCGGCGTGATAAAAATATCCATTCGGGTCGGTGGGATCGAAATAATCTCCCGAAGATGCGGCTTTGCACTAAGTTCTATGTGGGTGGGTGAGTGGATTAAAAGAAGAGAGAAGAAAACTGCATGGGGACGCAAGTGACGCGAGGACTGGAAACAAGTGGTATCAAGCCTGATAATCCTGTTGGAGATCAGTGGCATGGTATGAGATTCAAAGAAAAGCAGACACGCACTCACATAATGGTGATCATGCCTGAACTGCCACACATGAGACCTTCAGCATTGAAACAGTCAGCACCAACTTCCCAGTTTACAAACGTGTGATTCCAGGCCTTTTGACTGTCTCTGAGAAATACCGCTGGCAGGGGACAAGCAAGGAGAGAGACGAAAGGAGGTAAGGTAATGAGCAGGTACAAGCACCCAGCAGGTGCATTACTACTGAGATGTACAAAAACTGCTGAGATGTACAAATACTGCTGAGATGTACAAATACTGCTTGCACATATTATGGATAAACAAGAAGCGTCCTTCTGATGATGTGAGGCAGATCTAGCAGCTGTGAGGCTTGAAGAGCAAGTGAGGCAAGAAATTTAATGCATTGCAGCCAGTGCAAACAACATCATGCATACTCAGTGCTGCCTCCTGTGAACTGAGATACGTGCTACTAGTACGGGGAGTTGAGGAACTTGAGATGTAACGCCTTACACGTAAGCGTATGAGAGCATCCACTGCGCCTCAAATACAACCCTCGTTTTGACCCAGTGGGTAGCGAGGTGTTACATTTGGTCTCAAAACCTGGATTCGACTCCCGGCTGGGTCACATTTGAATGTGCCAGTCGCGAATCCAGTAAACGATCCGCCGCTGGCCGACTCCCTGCCCAACGAGGACGTTGGCTCCAGGGGGGGACGAGTGTGACGCCTGTGGGGCTTACACGTAAGGGTATGAGAGCATCCACTGCGCCTCAAATACAACCCTCGTTTTGACCCAGTGGGTAGCGAGGTGTTACATGAGAAGCATTTGACGGTATCACCGCTGATAAATTTTTGTAGTACTACTTCTAGTAGCATCAGCGAGAGCACCCGTGAGACGAACTGAGGGTGCACGGAGTGACTACCTTGAGAAGCGTTGATTGGCTGTGCATCACACGGCGGGAAGACGAACGCGGCAGCCCAAAGCACGGCGGCGAGCGCAAGCCATGCTCGTGGCTGCATCAGAGTCGGGTTTGGCGGCGGCATTTGCGGCGTCGACGTGCCTCCACGCTCTCTCAGGGATATGTTACACACGAATTAATATTGATGGCAACGGTAACTTCTACTAAATATCACGGGAAACAGGTAAAATGCGGAGCGGGTTGAGAAAGTGAGTTGTCATCAAGAATATGCGGTGGTTGCCACTGACGAATGCGGGAAAGAGGTCTCGGTGGAGGAAGAAAAGGGGCGGGCCCGTCGCTGCGCTCGCAACTCATTTTTGCACTCCCTACGAACCTCGAAACAATGCAGCAGATTCAGACAAATGGGGGCGCTCAGCCTGAGCGCGTGCAATCAAAACGTGCGATCATGATTAAAATAGTCCTGAGGAAAAAAATGCGAACCTACCATGCTTCCAGCATGGAAACTCTTGACTTGAGGGAGGGATGTGCAATTTGCTACGGTAGCAATGTAAAGGAATCCAGCGCGGATTTTGATACTTCGGCACAATGGGGCAACTCAGCTTGGTAGCCTGCCTCTCTTTGCTGACTAGGTTTAGAAAGGGGGAGGGAGAGGAGGGGGGAGGGGAACAGGTTATTGGCAAATTTGGTCAAGGTTGGAAACTGGACCGTCGATGAAAACTGCTGGGAACGGTGCAGATTATCTGCCTCAGATTTGGGCTCCAGGCTGAATTGACAAATAAAATAAAAAACCCGCTGTACGGTCAAGATTGATCGGAAAGCAGTTACAGCGAGATTGAAGGCTGACATTTCAGTCGTCGACCCTTCAGAAAGCTACGATCAGAAGTAAAGGCTTGGTTGGAACTTCAGCCGTCGATGTCCGAGATATCGAGATATCCAGATCCTTTTCCTTTCACAACTAAGGGTTTTTGAACCACTCTGGTTTCAGGCGAGGCAGAGCCTTACCCCAAAATATCCCAGCCCAAGCACCTAATGTGCTATGTGCGGTCTATTCAGCTAGCGCCTAGCCGTTTGGACGACTCACCAGTCCCCGTGCGACGCTACCCGTATGCAACGCGATCCATCAGCGACGCGACTTGTGCGCATCGCGACCCGCATGCGACGCTACCATTGGATTGCGCTGCTTCCAAGAGTCCATCCGCACCGTTGGATGATGCCGCCTGATTCCAAGGATTGACCCGCGCCGTTAGATGGGTCGCACATTTACGAGCAGTAATGGTGCAAAACGGAATCGCGGAACCGGAGTTTCGACATAATTAACTGGGAGGGAGAGGGGAAGGAAATACGCGTTAGAGGAGATTCGTTATGCTGCGTTTACGGCTGATGGCAAGGGAATACGCATAATTATAAGAAGGGGAGGCGGAAGTGGGGCAATAAACGGCGGAGGGCGAGGCGAAGTCATGGGGCCGACGCGCGGAAAAGAGCTTGGGGAGTGGAGGGCACGGGGAGCACGAATGCGGAAGACGGGGGGGAAGCGGAGGAGGGAGGGGGAAGGGGCGCGGAGAGAGAGGAGGAGGATACGCGCGAGAAGGTCGTCGGGTAGTGTGTGGATCGGTGGAAGGCGGTCGACGTCTGGCGAGTCCGGAACAGCGACGCGGACTGATTAACGGATCCACGTTTAGACTTGCCGTTGCTTGGCGAATCCATGGTTGCACTCCGACAGAAAAGAGTGATGCGGTGATTGTTACTACGACGACCTTAAGGAGAGTTGACTTTTGAGTCGACTCAAATGACGAGCCATTGCTTGGTGAATCCATGGTTGCATTACGACAGAAAAGAGTGACGCCGTGATTGTACTTCGACGACCGTAAAGGGAGCGACTGGAGGTATTCCCCTGTTCCCCTCGCCTCTGCCGTTCGTCTCTGCTGTTCGCCTTTGCTGTTCGCCTGTGCTGTTGGCGCCTGCGCGATGCATGTGACTCTATTGTCTGCATCTCCTGGAGCCCAACGCCATGCGCTCGCTGCCGTTCACTCCCCATGGCCACGCGCTGCTGCCTCCCTCCGCGGACTCACTCAGGCTCAACGTGACCCCTTCACACGCCGCCCGCTGCCCGCATTGCGATTGCGCTGCTGCTGTGCGGACGCGGGCTATAAGGCATCGGTGCCAAGCCTTTGAGCCCCGAATGCTGTGGATGGAGAGGGGAGGAGGAGGGGAAGGAGAAGGCGGAACGGGAACGAGAGGAGGGAGATGGAGACGAGGAGGCGAAGAGCGTGGAGGAGTGGAGCAGTACGGCCAAGTCTAGTGGAGGATGGAGACAAGGAGCCAGATATGAGCTGCTGCCGCGTTGTCTTTTAGCAGAAGCAGGGAGGACAAGGGAGTGGGAGGAATGGGAGTAGGAGGGGGAGTAGGAGGAGCAGGAGGGGCGGGGGGTTGATACCAGCTGGTGAGATTGGAGGGGTGGGGAGCAGGAGGCAGGGTAGAGGCATTGGCTTGCGTCCTCTGTCCCCACGCTCTTAGGCTCCACAAGTGCAGTCAGCACAGGTGCACGTGCCACAAGTGCCAGCAGTGCAAGGCAGAGCAGCAGCATCAAAGGCAGTAGCGGCACAACAACGGGCAGCAAGGGCAGCATCAGGGAGCGTTCTGCAGTGGTCGATGAAAGTGAATGTGGACGAATTCGCACAGGTGAGAGGAGAGAGGACGGGGAGATAGGAGGCGAGGAGAGGAGAGGAGTGGAGTGCCAGGATTAAGGGAGTAACAAAGTTGATGCACCTAGAGATTGTCTCCAGTGGTCCAGGGGGGATGGAACAACGAAATTGATTTAATATTACAAGTGCCCGTGTTGGTCCGCATTGGTCTGTAGAATAGTCCGCATTGGTCTATGAAAGTGAACGTGCATGAGTTTGCATGAGTGAAAGGGAGTGCAAGTGGGGAGTTTAGGTGCAGTGAGGAGAGGAGTGGGAGGGGATAGACACACATGCGGCACGTGCAGCACATGCAGCACGCATGCAGCGCGCATGCAGCACATGCTGTACATGCAGCGGACATGCAGCACGTGCAGCACATGCAGCGCGCATGCAGCATATGCTGCAGTGACCAACGCACTTACCCTTACCTTGTCCCGCTCAACCCCTTCCCTCCTCCCTCCTCCCTCCCCTTCTCCCAGCCCTCATTACCATCGAAGCTGCAGGAGCAGCAAGACGAGGAGGAGGAAGACGAGATGGTGGTGATGGAGAGTGTGAACGGGCGCCACATGGCCATTCTCCACATGCTGCAGGGCGCAAATACCCCTTGCCCCCCTGGCCCCCTGGCCCGCAGCACAAGATGGTGGTGATAGAGAGTGTCAACGGGCGCCACACGGCCATGCAGCACATGCTGCAGGGCGCGCATACCCCTTGCCCCCCTGGCCCGCATTTGCTTTGCTCTCTTTCCCAGCCCTCATTACCATCGAAGCAGCAAGGGGTAGATGAGGAGGGGGGAGACGAGGAGGACGACGAGATGGTGGTCATGGAGAGTGTGAACGGGCGGCACACGGCCATGCAGCACATGCTGCAGGGCGCGCATACCCCTTGCCCCCCTGGCCCGCATTTGCTTTGCTCTCTTTCCCAGCCCTCATTACCATCGAAGCAGCAAGGGGTAGATGAGGTGGGGGGAGACGAGGAGGACGACGAGATGGTGGTCATGGAGAGTGTCAATGGGCGGCACACGGCCATGCAGCACATGCTGCAGGGCGCGCATACCCCTTGCCCCCCTGGCCCGCATTTGCTTTGCTCTCTTTCCCAGCCCTCATTACCATCGAAGCAGCAAGGGGTAGATGAGGAGGGGGGAGACGAGGAGGACGACGAGATGGTGGTCATGGAGAGTGTGAACGGGCGGCACACGGCCATGCAGCACATGCTGCAGGGCGCGCATACCCCTTGCCCCCCTGGCCCGCATTTGCTTTGCTCTCTTTCCCAGCCCTCATTACCATCGAAGCAGCAAGGGGTAGATGAGGAGGGGGGAGACGAGGAGGACGACGAGATGGTGGTCATGGAGAGTGTGAACGGGCGGCACATGGCCATGCAGCACATGCTGCAGGGGCGCCTCTCTGCAGTGCGCCACGTGGTGACGCTGTGGGTGGATGGAGCGTTGCTGCTCGCCCTCTCTGCCCTCGCTGCTTCAAAAGACCTCGCTGTGAGTGCGGGACCATTTGTTGAATGAGAGCGTGGGAGCACACGGCCTTGCAGCACATGCTGCAGGGGCGGCGCTCTGCAGCGTGGCTTCACTGTAGGTGGAAGGAAGGAGCACACCTGCCTGCCCTCTCTACCCTCGCTGCCCTAAGCACAAGCACCTCGCACTGAGACCACGAGGGCCTTGCAATGCTTCACATGCTGCAGGGGAGGCATGGCGCTCTGTAGTGCAGCACGTGGCAGCGTTGTTGGTGGAAGGAGCACACCTGCCCACACTCTCCGCCCTCTCCGCCCTCTCCGCCCTCTCCACCCTCGCCGCCTCGAAGGACCTTGCTCTGAGTGCACCCACAGACCGTTGATTTTTTTCCTCATCATAAGAACCTCTGATTCCCTTCGTTGTCCCTTCCTCCGATTCCAGTATCCTTCCTTACTGGCCCCATACTTCAGTGGTGGCAGACGTGTAAAAAGTGCTGGCCATACAGGGAGACCCACTGCTGCCCTCAGCACCCGGTGCCGCCCCCTCAGCACCCAGTGCTGCTGTTGAGGGCTGTAGCCAATGCTCTCCTTGCTGTGTTCTTTTCCAATCCCTTCCGAATTGTGCTGTACTGATGAAGGTGTGATTGGGTTCGCCCATCCGCCGAAACTAGTTTACGCCCATCCCCCACACCTCAGGCGGTGGCAGACGTGCAAGAGGTGCTGGCAATGCAGGCAGGCAGGCGCCTGGTGTTGGTGGGCATGGAAGGAGCATTGTAGCTGTGAAGGGTGTACCCGTCTCTTTTCCCTCATTCCCCCATGTGCTTCAGGTGGTGGCAGACGTGGTGGAGGTGCTGGCCATGCAGGAAGGCAGGCGGCTGGCGTGTCTAATCTGGGGATGAAAGGAGCCTTGCAGCTGCTGAGTCCCTTCTCATTCCCTTATCTTCCCTTCGTTGTCCCTCCCTATCCCCATACCTCAGGTGGTGGCAGACGTGGTGGAGGTGCTGGCCATGCAGGGAGGCAGGCAAGAGGTATCGGTGGGGTCCACTCACTGCCCTGCCGGCTTTCATTCCCTTTCTGTTTCCTGATTCGCCTGTGCCTCAGGTGGTGGCAGACGTCCTTGAGGTGCTGGCCATGCAGGGAGGCAGGCGGCTGGTCTCAGTGGGCATGGAGGGGGCCTTGCAGTTGCAGCCGCTGCTGAGGGCTCTGCTCTGCTGTGCTGTGTCTTCTGGAACGTTTCTGAGTGGTGCTGAGCAGTGCTGTCGAGAGGTCAAGTCTTGCCTTGCTTTCCCAGGCCTCTGCCACCGTCTGTTGTAATGTGAAGCAGAGTCCACACTACAAGCGAAGGGCATGTTTTGACGCAATCTTTCTTTCTTTCACCCAGTGCAGTGCCAATTACACCCGTTTTCCTTTCCCCCTCCCACCGAATGCATTTGACGTGGCACTGTTACTGCTTCACAGTCTCCTGAGTGTCAATTTCTCTTTTTCTGTTTCCTATCCCTTTTCCTCCCGCCTCTCCCCGCCCACAGATACATGGAAATGGCGCTGTCGCTGCTACGTGGTCTGTTGAGGGCGTTCTGTCAGCCATCACTGGCCCCCTTCCTTTCCTCCCTCCATCCTCCCTCTCCTTTCCCCCCCCACAGGTACGTGTGAGTGGCGCTGACCTTGCTACATGAGCTGCTGAGGGCATTCAGTCAGCCCATCACTGTCCCGCCTTCCAACCTCCCACCCATCACTACTCCCTCTCTCCATCCTTCCACCCTCCCTTCCCTCACAGGTACGTGGCCCGTCGGAAAGGAGCTGTCTTGCTACGTGAGCTGTTGAGGGGTTTCAGTGAGCCCAACAGTGCTGCTCGCACCGGCACACACTCTTCTGGAATTAGGCAATGACGCGGTGTTTAGGGGAGGTGCGAGCTGCTGAGGGCGTTCAGTGGGCCCATCACTGCTGCTCGCATGCCACGCACTCTCCTGGAATTAGGCAATGACACGGTGTTGGGGGGAGGTGTGAGCTGCTGAGGGCGTTCAGTGGGCCCATCACTGCTGCTCGCATGCCACGCACTCTTCTGGAATTAGGCAATGACGCGGTGTGGGGAGAGGTGTGAGCTGCTGAGGGCGTTCAGTGGTCCCATCACTTCTGCTCGCACTACCACTCACTCCCCTTGCTTCATATGTGCATACCGTATGCAGAAGATGCAATGACCGTTCTTACACCCAATCAAACAAGGCAAATTAACACAATGTGAGAGGTGTAAGGGTTGTAAGCTGACACTCCTTTGGAAAAAATAATTGTTTTGGTTTAAGGTAGGCCAGGCCAAGCTGAGATGACAACTGTCCATATTGCTTCAATAATTTTGTATAGCGTATTATCTATAAGACCATTTCATACCACCTTGGACCATCCCACACTGACAGTGTCAAAGCAGCGCACGGGCTCGCACCCGCACACCTGAAGAGAGGTGAAGCGGTAGAGAGAGGTGAAGAGAGGTGAAGAATGAGGAATATTACTCGCACCGTCCACCACCCCATGCTAACCGCGCCAAAGCAGCGCACGGGCTCCCACCCCCGCACCTGCAGATTGGAGGAGGGAAGAAGCAAGCGGGGAAATGAAAGCATATGCATGGAGAAATCGTTTGGTAACGATGCACACAAGCAGCATCGCTTATCGGTTGCGTCGGACGCGGATAGTGTCGCACGCGAAAAGCGACGCACGCAGGAGCGGTGACGCCCGCAGGGAGCGTCGCACGAAGAGAGCTTCGCACGCGGATAGCGTCGCCCGCGGATAGCGTCGCACGCGGATAGCGCTGCATGCAGATTGTGACGCGCGCAGAGAGCGTCGCGCGCAGACAGTGTGGCATGCGGATAGCGAATCCGGGAGCTTCGAGTCGTCCAAACGGTTATCCGAATGCCCGTACCATATCCGTTTCGCACCACGTAAACGTGCGACCCATCCAGCGGCGCGGGGCGGCATCATTCAACGGTGCGGGTGGACTCTTGGAATCAGGCAGCGCAATCCAATGGTGGCGTCACTCTCAGAATCCCAACCACTAGACCATTGGGATAAAAGGGTTTGTTAAGTAGAGTCAGTACGCCCATAACCCCAACGAGCCTGTAACCCTTTCCTAGGATCAATCGGGGATCTCCAATGGACCTCTGACACCCCCCCGCACTGGAATGTGCACACACTGGGATTCGAACCCAAGATTGCTCTAATTCTATCTAAGAATCCCAACCGCTAGACCATTGGGATAAAATGGCTTGTTAAGTAGCGGGTCAGTGCGCCCATAACCCCCTAGGACAACGAGCATGTAACCCTTCCCTAATCGGGGATCTCCAGTGGACCTCTGACAGTCGCATACGGGTAGCGATGCACACAAGTAGCGTCGCTTATAGGACGCGTCGCATACGGGTAGAGTCGCTTATACGTCGTGTCGCATACGGGTAGCGTCGCTCATAGGTCGAGTCGCATACGGGTAGGGTCGCTTATAGGTCGCGTCGCATACGGGTAGCGTCGCTTATAGGTCGCGTCGCATACGGGTAGCGTCGCACACAGATACTGACATAAGACTTGTGAGTCGTCCTAACGAAATGGCTAGCCAAATGTCTGTCTAGGGTTAGCAAGTCAGGAAAATGAAAACTGGTGAGGTGCTTGGATTCGAATTTGGGGTACAGTCGATGCTCAGTCTATCACAAAACATTTGCTCCGCACAATTAGAAATTTAGTCACTAGCGAATGTTTTGCTCGTGACTGACTAAATTGACCATTGTGCCGATTTCGATGTACAGTCACCAAGTTGAGGAAGAAAAACATATACAGCACATAAACAACAATGGTTGCTCGTCATCAGAGAAGTTAACCTGGTTACGAAATTAAAGCCCCTGACTCGATTCACGTTGCAATTTCATATTACTGTCACATTTCTGCCCGAGGCGACAAGGGCGAATGTGGCGAAATTCCTCAAACACGTTTCACGCACATGCCGCCCGCCTACCTGGTGTTCTTAAAATGGGCGCCGACTGTACATGGTTCTGCCTGAAATCAGAGTCATTCGAAATCCAGTCAATGATCCTGTTCGATAGCATAAGGAAGGATCTTGGGTATCTCCGTATCTCAAATATCGACGGCTGAATTTCCAACCAAACACACGTCACTCTCGATCTAAGCCATTAACATCTGAAAGATCGACGGTTGAAACGCCAGTTTTCCGATCAAACCTGATCGTACAGCGGATCCCCTCCTCGGTTGTCTTTCCAACCTGGAACCCAAATCTGAGGTATAATCTGCACCGTTCCTAGCAGCTGTCATCGACGGTCCAGTTTCCAACCTGGACCAAATTTGCCAATGATCCAGTCCCTCTCCCCCCTCCTCCCCCAACCCACTTTCTAAACCTAGTCAGCTAAGAGAGGCAGAAAAACCAAGCTGACGCGGTCTTGTCATGTAGACTAGTTGCCCCATTATGCCAAGTACACCGTTATTCTCACCCTTCTCACCGGCGGAAGCACTGGCTACAGTGTTTGGACGTAGCGGGCTGGTGCGATAACTCGGTGCGGGCAAAGTCGCACGACGTCACGAAACAAGCCTCGGTCCACCCTAAACCGTTTTAGCTGAATTAACCGTTTAACATACAACAGTACCATTCTAGAACGTATTCAAACTTGACTAAACGCCTTGGGTCAAATTGTCACTGTAACGCATGTGATAGGACCTTCTTTCGTCCGGTGCGGTACACTAAGCGTCTAGGTCAGTATAGCATATGCCAGTCTATCTAGAATGAGGGTGTAGCAAAATCCATGCTGGAACCCTTTTATGATTGCTCAGAAATACTGTAGCAGGGTGCAGCACGTCTCTCAAGTCAAGAATTAGCATGCTGGAATGGTAGGTTCTCACGTTTGTTCCCCAGGACTAATATAATCATGATAGCACACGCTCATGCTGAGCACCCCCATCGTCTGGGTCTGCTGCGGTGTTTCCAGGTTACTAGGGACCGAGTCGCGACCTACAGAGTAAAATTGAGGTGCGCGTGCAGCGACGGCCCACCCCTTTTCTTCCTCCTCCCAGACTCATTCCCCACTCATCATCGTCAGTGGCAATGCATTTTCTTGATGAGGCAACTCACTTTCTCAACCCACTCCGCATTTGACATCACAAAAATGTGTGCGTCTGGAAATCATCTGACCATTTTTTTTAAAGCAAGTTTCCGAAAATCGTTTGACAATCACCCAGGAATCATCTACGAATTGTTTGTATAGCATTCTTGTCAGACCAAACGTTTTGTTGATGTTTTAGTAATGGTTTTGCGATGTTACAATGGAATGTTTGTAAGATGTTGATTGTTGAGACGATAATAAGGTGGATTAAAAGCGTGTTTCACAATCAAAGAAGGTTATGGTATATTGACTTAGTTGCTACTTAATATGCATCACCAGATGAACCTATTGAGCAGCTTCACAGCAGGGTCTTTGCAGCACGGGACAACATGCACGATGCTAAGAATGCAATCTGCATCTACAACTGCATAGTTGAAGGTGCCCTTCGTGGGCAACAGTCGTTTGCAGCCAGTGTACCGGCAGACTCGCCGATCCTCCGTGTAGTACTCGATGTAGGCGGCTTTTTTTGCCACGCCGTCTTTCACGTAATGGAACAGCATCAAGCATCGGCCGTACCAGTTGGCCCCCTTGCCAGCTGGATTTATGGCCACATCTGAAAAGTGCCTTTCGGAAGGGCTTGCTTTGACAAACTGCCCCTTCTCGGTCCACTCCATCCTGTCGTGCGGTGGGATTGCCATGGCAGTGTGCACCTGCGAATAGGCAAGCGGGGGTCGCAGCACAACAATGGAAGTTTGTGTTAGGGTTGAGACAATAGGGTGCTGACGGGTGCGTGGATACAACAGGGTGCCATGCCTCGGTTCGGCCCATTAAGGAGGGTGATGCTACGCGTTTAACAGGTCTACGTGGCAGTGGCAGTTTGCACAGCATTGAGCACCATATTGATTCTCACATTGAGCACTTGGTCGTGAATTCCCTCCCTGGCCAGCCGCTTCTTCAAGTAGCCCATTGCTACATCTCTGTAAACAAGGACATAGCTCCTGAAC